ATCACCTTACAAATTGCAGCTGCATTGTCAGGCCTGTGAAGTAGGCTGTTACAGAGCCATTCAGACCACACCTGCACCCCACAGCACATTGTTTCTCTTGCCTACAATTACCCACATCCTGGAGTGGTTAGAGTGCTACATGAACCATGAAAAGTGGAATTTTTTTAAAACATGGGTATCTGTAGTGGATACTTCTCGAGAAGAAGCTCAAGAGTGCAAAAGGCAGAAGCCTAGAGGGATAAGGAGGTTGCTAGCACATCCGTATCATGGCGTGGACAGCGAGGCTCATTATATTGCATAGAAAAATTTCTAGTACTAAAGTGAGAGTCTTTGCATGCCTGTTTGAGGACTGGACGCTAACCCGTTTACTCTAAGTTTGAGGGGTGCCATCTGATAAGGATCCAGATTACTCTGAGTAATCTATTAGGATTGTTTCTGCTGTCAGTATATCAGCTTGGTGACAAAGACATTGTGTCTTTCACACTTTACGTCAGTGCCTAACTTTCCCAGTGGGAGCTGCTGTGGATGTGAACACAGTAAGCCGTGGATATGTGGAATAAAGTGGCGTCTGCCTGAGGGTAGAGGTTGGAGCTCATATTTTAGATTCCGCTAGAACCCATGACCAGAAACATGAGCACAAAGGGGACTAATTAATGACCTTGTGAAGCCACAACTTAGTAATGGACACCAGGAAACAAACTTTCTTTTATCTGCTCCTCTTAGAGCACAGGGTAAGAATGCAAATTACTGACGGTGCATGTTTGACAATGTCTGTGAAGTGGTGTTGAGCCAGGAGCCTCGGTGACTGCTGCTGTGCTTTAATGAGCTCTCTGATGCCACAGGCTTAGAGTGTTACAGCCTGTGACACGGGTAGAATTGCCAGCTAGCATGAGAAGAGCCAGATGAGCAGCGGTGTCACTACCTGCTTCTCTTCTGTGTCCCACAGCTGCATCCTATGACAAGCGAATTGCACTCTGGGATATTGGGATTCCAGACTGTGACTACAATTTCAAAGCAAGGTAAAGGTTCAAAAACGAGATGTGGCCAGTCCAGGAGCCTACAACTATCACATCGTAGCACCACTTAACTGCTTGTTCTCTTTTTTTAGCCAGCTGCTGGTGCTGGAAGCGCTCTCCATTCCCTTACGGATTGCCCTGGTCCCCACCTGCTCCGATCAGTACCTGCTGGCTGGCTGTGAAGGCGGCTGCTTTGCCTGGAATATAAAACTGGATAAGGAACAAAAAAGCAGGTGAGAACCAAAAGCTGGGGGCATGCATTTGCTTTCCATGACAAGAAGAGGTAGTCCTAGCAAAGGCTTTATTTCTAACCGAGGAGGTCTGAGCAAGAAAAGCAGCACGTCCTACCAAACTTAAATCATACTCCCCTTCCCATAGTGGCAAGAAAAAATACTAGCATAATGCTAAAGGAGCGTTCAAAGGTAGCAGCCCTGAGCTTGTATTGATGCTCCAGTCCACAAGTGTTGCAGGCTGCTTTGAAGGAGGGCTGACATGGGTGTAATCCAATGCCCTAAAACTTAAGGGCGTATCATCTTGAAGTAGTGTAAGGGAGTGTAAATTCTTGGATCGAGTTCCAGTCTCCCAGCAAGGCCTACCCTGCTTCTGGTACGTGAGGTTACCCAGGAAACTGGCACTCTGTGGGAGCACAGAAAAAAATTACAAGAAAGAAGCAAGTGAAGTCATGCCCTGCTGACATAGACTAATCCTGATGCCTGTGAAAACAGATGAAGCAGCAGTCTCTTAAGCAAACGGGCTTCTACTGTATTAATAAACCCCGGTGGCCAAAAGCATAAGTTCGAGTGGGAATTCACCTGAGTTTGGCAAGACGCTCACTGACACCTGAATTTCCTTCTCCTGGGTTCTGTACCCGAGTGCCCTTCCACTGCTGCCCGTTCAGGACTTGACTCATTTCACCCTTCCCCCCTGCTCTAGGCCTTTTGAAGCCGTATTCCAGTTCCCTGATGAGGATGGAGGCATGACAACATCTCACAGGGTTGATGGTTTGGCTTTTCTGAATGATGATGTCGTCGGTGAGTATAAACACAACAGCCCGATCCAGAAAAACAGTCGGGCACCTCAGCATGTGGCAGGCTGAAGCCAGCATGATGAGCAGAGGGACTGAATGGGGTGTGACTACCTCTTCTTTAGATGGAGCTGTCTCCCAGAGTCATTTATCTTTCCCTAAAATGGGGGCTAGAGGTGCAAACCCATGTCTGAGCAGGACTGGAAATCAGATGGACCCATCCCTGAGAGCGTGCTCGACTGAGCAGTGCCGAAGTGGAAGGGAGGAGGGCTCCTTTCTGCTCAAGGGCTGGTGGCAGCAGCATTTTTCTGCAGGGGAATTGGGGGTTCCCACATCTGGGAGAGTGCTTAAAGCACGGGCTGGGTCTCTCTCTGCATAGCTTATGCTTGTTCTACAGTTCAGGAACGTAAGCATGGGACTGAAAATCCCTCTGCAGTCTCCAGTTATCCCGAAACAAGGTAAAGGAGGCGGAAACAGTTGCTGCTGATATCAGGTCCCATGTCTTAAAAGCCACCTTCTGGATGGACCACCTTCAGCAGAGGCCAGCTTTTGTCTTGAGGCATTTCACTTCTCAGCAACTGACACAGCCTCTCCCGTCTTTCCTCCCTAGTTTCCAAGAGCTCTAAACCGGGATGCATATACTTATGGAGCTGGAGTCGGTCTTTTGACGCAAAGGGGAAAGGATGCCAGCGAACGGTAGCTGCAGTTATTCTAGCTGAGCTTGAGTGGTCCACGACGGACCTGTCCTACCTGACGCTCAGCACCTGCCCAGGTAGGCAGCACCCTTCCTCGGGGCAAGCAGCGAGGCTGTACCAGTCACTGTAGCAGAGATGGCCGCAGGGGTCCCAGATTTACTTTGCACAGTCACGTGTGCCTCCCCTTCCACCCGTCGGAGGAGCCCGTAGTTAGAGGCAGAGGCCTGGATTTCAGTCCCCATCACAGAGAGCATCTGGTCTCCCCTCGGCAAGCAACAAGAGCCCTCAGCTCCCTGCACTGCAGCTCCAATACGGTGCAGCAACAGCCGTATATAAATAACACAAGTAGTACGTGAATGCAGCTATACTATCTGCCGTACAACGGGGGAACAGCTCAGGCTTACACCGACTGCACAGTGCCAACACGGTCTTCCTTGTACAGGTCTTCAAAGCGCACGGAGCTGACGGCTTGGCCCTGTAGCTTTTCTAGAGCCACTTTAATGCCTACTGCGTCTGAAGTAAGGGGTAGGATTTCCACACACAGGGCAGCTGGCTTTTAAGACTAACAAGGAATAAACAAATCTGATCTGATTGCCACTTTCCAAAACCAAAAAGTCTGAAAAAGTCAGAAGAAATGCTAAAACATTTATCACTAGCTTTTCTTACTGGAGTAAAATAGCCGATTTGTCTTTAAATGAATTGAGTTTTTTTCCAGCACGAGGTAGATTAATGTATTTGTGCTAGAAAGAGAATTTTGCTGAAACGTGACATCCTCCCCCGGGATCCCTTCAGCGCTGTCTTGAGCTCTGCTTTTAATAGAGGTGTGGACTCTCAGTTCCACACTCATTTTCCAGCTGCTTCTTTTGGTCTTACAGCAAAAGACTACGTGTTCTGTGGCGACGAGCAGGGAAGTGTGTGGATGTACAACCTCTCAAACTACACCACAGCGTGGAGCTCTGCAAAGGGAAAACGCACAGACAAGAGGATCCCTCCCACACAGGTAGGTCTCATTTGCCCGTTGGGGCTGAGCTGGGCTTCCCTCCCTCCCTCCCTCCCTCCCTCCCCGGAGCAGCTGAGCGGTTTTACACCAGAACACGCCTAGCGTTTCCTCTACCTAACATGCACAAGCCATTAAAAGCGATCATCTCCAGCGCGTGACCAAGGCCATCTTTCAAATCTCACGCAAACGCAAGTGTGACGGGAATTAGGAGCTGTGAAACACGTCTGTTTGCTCCTGCGTTCTGCACCTTGGCAACTTTTCCTAGCAGAAGGGCCCTCGGTAAAAAAAAAATCGGTGGTTAAACTGGAAAGCCTGAGAATACAAGCGTGCAGACACCATTTCCCTGACGGGCCAAGGGGAGGGAAGCCGGAGCGGCCGTTCCCTGGCAGAACGGCACGCGGGAAAGGGCTCGCTGCTCCCGTATGCTCACGCCACCCTTTTTTTCGCTTGGTATTTCCCTGGCCTCCAGAGATAGCCCTCCTTTGGGCAGTTACTCTTCCCTTGTGTGGTGAAGGCTCTGAAAGGACAATCACTTGCCCTCTCGAAGGCTGTTACTCCAGAGCCTGGTCTTGAGCTACCATTATATGTAGGTATGAGGTGACCTCATGGTCACGTTCATGTCCACGTTCCATGGACTTTCTGGAAGCGTATTGCAGCGTTCCATGGACTTTCTGGAAGCGTATTGCCCAAGTCAGCAGTCGGTTCCTCCAGGACTGAGGGGCAGCCGCTTTCACTTTTTCCTTTCTGATCAAGTCCCTCCGTGTTAAACCCTGCTCCTTTAGGAGCAGTATCATAAAGCTGCACCGCCTCCCTCAGGAAGGGGAAGAACCTTTTATTCAGCTTCCCCAGGTCAGTAGGGAAGCGGATTCCAGAGAGACCCAATCGTCAAACCAGGCCTTGCAGTAATTAACCACCTTCCACTTCCAGAGACAATACCACCCTTCCTTTCCTACCCAAACTCTCTTCTCCTCGTAGATTCTCAATTGGCCAGAGCTTCGAGCGAACGGGGAGCAGCTGACCGAAGTCCTAATAAACAATGTGGTATCAGACCCTACTTTTACTTACCTTGTTGTTCTAACTAGTGTGAACATAACAGCAATTTGGAAGAAGTCATAGTTCCTTGTAACAGAGTTTCATTCCCGTGCTTTGAAATAGTGCAGTATTAGTGACTGGTACCCATGTAACCATGAAGTTTTTCTAGACCAGCTATTATGTGCAAGAGAAAAAAAAAAAAAGGTAAAAGAGTTTGTTAAACTCATCAAGTCATTGTAAACATCCGGTTTCTTTTACTGTAACTTTTCACAATTTGTGCATTTGTTTTATAGAAATGACACGTAATAAAACAAAATACCAGTTCAGTTGGCAGTGCCTAGACTTCTTGAAAAGGAAAAGCAGAGAGTTCACCTACCGCTATCACTCAGCGGCTTCTCAGTCTGGAAGTACACTCACAATAAACTCGCCAACAGCCCAGTACAAATATTTGCCTCGAGGCTCCAATTAGAAAAGTAGAAATCATTTTAAGGACTTATCTATCAAATCAAACAAGACATACGCCCTCCTGGCAAGCTGCCTGTCTGGTACAAAAAAAAAACCCCACAACCCTCAAAAGATCACTGCTGCTGTCAAAAACCAAACGTAAGTGGGACAAGGAGGAAAATATTTGCCGTGAACGGAGGTTTAAATATAGCGTTCAACTAACAGGCACATCATTCTGCAGCAGAAGTACAGTCCGCTCTGAACGGGGTGATCTCACTCAATTCCTTCTTGTTTGTCTTTGATGGCAACCTGTAAAACACAAACAAAACACACATGCACTAAGACAAGAACTGTTACGGAGCTGGAGGAGGTTAGTTCAAACAACCACACCGGTCTTCTACGGAACGCAAGAACCGCCGCACGCCATCAGTGGAAATCTCTACACCATCCAGAAAAATAATGCTTAAATGAAAATCAAAACGTATTTACAAGAGTGGGGCACCGTTAGCCTTTTACCAGCACATCAGAGAACACTACACAGACGGTATCCTGCTCAGAGTCCCCCCCGGTTTTGTCTGAATAACCTTTCAGGCAGATTTAAAGTCTCAAAAAGCGGGGGCTAAATAAATACGATTGCACAGTTGAGCAGAATCAATGAGAAGTGGTCAAAAAAAAAAAAAATACTGTCCCAGCGTTTTGGCAGGAGAAGTCAAAAAAAGCCCCGAAACACTTTGGAAGAACAGAAAACTGTTTTCTACTCTTTAAAAAAAGAGGACTGTGAGAAAAACCAACGCTAACGCCGGCCATCTCGGGAATTGCAGAGCACCCACCGAACCCTTGCAAATAACCCTTACGAGCAGCCAGGCTCCACCGTGCCGTGACAGGAGCCGAGTAACGCGATGCTGCACAGCTCTGATGAATTTATTGACCTAAAATAGCAGCTCTAAGGTACGCTACCCCTCCCTTGGTTTAACTTTTAATTGCAAGACGCTCAAATAGTTTTAAAGGAAAAAAAAAAAAAGAAACAAACTTACCCTGAACCTCTCCTCCAGGAGGGAGAGCTCGCTGATCAGATCTGTGATGGCGTTGGTGAAAGCCTCCTGGGGGCTGTAATCGGGGGTGGTTTGGACGCGGATGATAATTTTGTGTTCCAGCGGGTGCGGGACCTTGTACCCTGCAAATAACACCTGGGGGTCTTTCAGTAACTGCCTGGAACGGAAAAGCAGCAGTGAACAACCACGCAGCACAAACACAAATGCTTTTTACGTTTAAAAAAAAAAAAAAAGGAATTAAAAAGCTGCGTTTCCGATGGGCTTCGCCAGCACGCTTTCAAACAGGGCGCTACGAACGTGTTCGCGGAGGCTATGCCCTCGCTTTTCAAGGCAGAATTGCTTTGCCCTGACCTGACGACATCTATCACAAGGTGACTAAACTTTCTGAGGAGAAAAAGGAAAAAAAAAAAGCCCTAAACGCCCCCCCCCCGCC